AAACACAGTTTAGTCAGACACATTAATTTTTAAGTAGAAAAGCACAGATCATAAAGACAAATTAACTCTTAAGTAGAAAAACACAGTTTAGTCAGACACATTAATTTTTAAGTAGAAAAAGCACAGTTCATAAAGACAAATTAACTCTTAAGTAGAAAAACACAGTTTAGTCAGACACATTAATTTTTAAGTAGAAAAAGCACAGTTCATAAAGACAAATTAACTCTTAAGTAGAAAAAACACAATTTGGCCAGAATAATTAATTTTTAAGTAGAAAAACACAGATTAGGTAGAGAAATTAATTTTTTAAGTAGAAAAAGCACAGTTTAGTCAGACTAATTAATTTTTTAAGTAGAAAAACACAGTTTAGTCAGACAATTTAATTCTTATGTAGAAAAAGCACAGTTCATACAGGCGAATTATTTTTTAAGTAGAAAAACACAGTTTAGTCAGACACATTAATTTTTAAGTAGAAAAGCACAGATCATAAAGACAAATAACTCTTAAGTAGAAAAACACAGTTTAGTCAGACACATTAATTTTTAAGTAGAAAAAGCACAGTTCATAAAGACAAATTAACTCTTAAGTAGAAAAAACACAATTTGGCCAGACTAATTAATTTTTAAGTAGAAAAACACAGATTAGGTAGAGAAATTAATTTTGAAGTAGAAAAAGCACAGTTTAGTTAGACTAATTAATTTTTAAGTAGAAAAAGCACCGATCATAAAGATAAATTAATTCTTAAGTAGAAAAAACACAATTTGGCCAGAATAATTAATTTTTAAGTAGAAAAACACAGATTAGGTAGAGAAATTAATTTTTAAGTAGAAAAAGCACAGTTTAGTCAGACTAATTAATTTTTTAAGTAGAAAAACACAGTTTAGTCAGACAATTTAATTCTTATGTCGAAAAAGCACAGTTCATACAGGCGAATTATTTTTTAAGTAGAAAAACACAGTTTAGTCAGACACATTAATTTTTAAGTAGAAAAGCACAGACCATAAAGACAAATTAACTCTTAAGTAGAAAAACACAGTTTAGTCAGACACATTAATTTTTAAGTAGAAAAAGCACAGTTCATAAAGACAAATTAACTCTTAAGTAGAAAAAACACAATTTAGCCAGAATAATTAATTTTTAAGTAGAAAAACACAGATTAGGTAGAGAAATTAATTTTTAAGTAGAAAAACACAGTTTAGTCAGACAAATTAATTTTTAAGTAGAAAAACACAGTTTAGTCAGACAATTTAATTCTTATGTAGAAAAAGCACAGTTCATACAGGCGAATTATTTTTTAAGTAGAAAAAACACAATTTGGCCAGAATAATTAATTTTCAAGTAGAAAAACACAGATTAGGTAGAGAAATTAATTTTTAAGTAGAAAAAGCACAGTTTAGTCAGACTAATTAATTTTTTAAGTAGAAAAACACAGTTTAGTTAGACAAATTAATTTTTAAGTAGAAAAAGCACAGTTTATACAGACAAATTATTTTTTAAGTAGAACGATTAATTTTTAAGTAGAAAAACAGAGTTTAGGCACACAAATTTAATTTGTTAGTAGAAAACTATGGTTTCGCGATACAAATTAATTGTTAAGTGGAATAAACTTTTTAGTCAGACTAATTAATTTTTAAGTAGACAAGATAGTTTATCTAAACAAATTAATTTTTAAGTAGAAAAACATAGTTTTGCCAAACAAATTAATTTAAATGATCAAAATATGGTCTGATAATAAAAATTTAAGTAGAAAAAGTTAAATAGTCAGACGTCAAAAAAGTAACTTTTCAGACAAATAAATTTTTAAGTAGAATAAAAATGTCGAGTTAAATAATAAACTCTTTAAGTAGAAAAAATTAAATAGTCAGAGTAGAGGTGAGTAAAGTAAAGTAATTAAATTTTAAAAGTAAATTTTTGATGAAAAAAGAATATTTAGTCTGACAAATAAATTTTTGAGCAGAAGTAGAAAAATTAGACGAGTTCAGGCAAGTAAATTTCGTGTCTATAAAAGTTTTTAGTTAGATAAATAAAATTTTTGCCTGAACAAAAAATTGAAACGTTAAAAAATACATGTAACGCCTTCTTTAAGTAGAATGAAATTGTTTTAGTCAGGCCGGTAACATATCCTCCCGAAAAAAAGTAATTCATTTAAAAAATTTAATTTATTAAGTGGAACATATTTTATTTGACAATAAAAATGTTTTTAAGTAGTGAAAAAATTATTTGCCAGATATTTTAATTTTTAAGAAAGACGAAATATTATTGAGTCAGCAAAAGTAACTGTCAAGTAGAACGAAATTGTACAGTCAAGCAAGTATATCGTATGTAGAACAAAATTACTCTGTTAGCTTACAATTTTCAACTAGAATAAGATTTTTCAGTCAGACATTTAAAAAAAATTTTTTTTTTTATTTCTGATACACTGAAAATAAATTTAATTTTAATATCCATTGCCTATTATAAAATAAATATTTACTTGAATCAAATGATTTTTATTTAAATCAAATAAATTGAATTCTACCGAATAATTAAATTAGTAATCAACATACTATTTGAAGCAAATACTATTTAATTAAATTAAACAAAAATTATTTAATTAAACTAAATATTTATTTGATAATAAACAAGTAATCGGTTATTTAAACCAAATAATTTTTCTTTCCAGTCTACAATTTCCCTAAAATCGAATTTCTTTTTTCGTTTGTTATTTTCCCAAAAAAATTTTTTTTTATTTTCAATAAAATTTTTAAAATATTTTTTAAACTACAGCTTGTTATTAGTCTATCAAGTGTACTAGTTATTAGTAAGTGGCATAAGAGTTCATCTAAATATTTGAGCAATCTTTAGTCCAAAAAATATTAATTCTTTTTAGTCCTTCTTAATAAAAAAAAATAAATTTAAAATTGTAGATTCTCTTTAAAGCAAAAAAGCACCAAGTTTCGTGCGAGCTTTAATATTTCTCTGAGTATCTACTATGTGAAAGGCATTTATGTTTTACTTGTTTCGCAAAAAGGGAAGATTAAAGCAAATATGCATTGCATACGATGTCGTGGTTTTACATCATATTTTTTGTACAAAAATAAAATTAAATGCGTATAAAATATAATGTGAAAAAAGTTGCTGCAAAACAATCAACTCAGAATAATAATAATATGTAATATAAATGATAATACTATTTATAATAATAATAATAATAACAAATAAAAAATATAAATAACTTATAAAATTATTATGAATAAAAATAATATAGTAAAAATATAAATTAATTAATAATAATAATTATACGTTCTACCAATTTTTTTTTTTATTTCAATAAACTGCTTTTAATTTAATTTTAATTTAATTTAAATTTTATTTTACTTAATTTTAATATAATTTTAATTTAATTTCAATTTAATTTCAGTTTAATTTTATTTTAATTTTAGTTTAGTTTTCTATATAATCTACATTTGAATTTTCAATATTATTAAATATGAATAAATCTTGTGCTTCTTTTTAATTAAATGTACAAAATTGTATTTAATTTTTTAAATTTCCAGTATGGGATACTACTTTTGCAGTCAACTAACAAACAGTAATTTGGTGAAATGGAATCGTCATCAAAATACAATTGAGCGTAGAAATCGAATTTAAGGGAGCTCGAGAAGTAAAATGCTTTGGAATCCAATAGTAAATCCACGACACTTTGCTTCGCAATCGGTCATTTCATTTAACATTGTTTTGATATTGGTATGAATGAGTGAATGAATGATTAACTCCTGTGTGTAGACTTCACTTTATACAATGGTGTTTGTATTAATTTGAATGCCTTTTTTTTGTAATTTGACCGTTTGTTCTTGGAAATTTCTCGATGTTTTTTCAGTTTTGCAAGAGTGCGAGGAACTTATAGTCGCATAATAATCGACTTAACTTTTAATTGATTAAATTCACGAAATTGGTGTTTTCTTTTGAACTCAAGTTGTTAATAATAATAATAATTGGTGAACAATAACTTTGTGTAAGTGGTCTTACCGCGAAATTGACTTTAATTAATAAATAATGAATTATTCCTTTGTTAATTGAACTGACGCTATTTTATTTCTATCTTTATAACCCAAATAAATGATTAATTAATAAATTAATTAATCCGAAAATTCAACATGGTCCTTCGAGCCGGATTTGGAGTGAATTGAAGTGGAATAGTTTATAAAAAAGGACATTATTTAAATAATCGCAGTTGTGTAAGACATGTGCTCACCAATACAAATGCAACAGTGAATTTTATATATATATAAAACATTGTGGTTCCTCGCTAAATTTGACATTTTTTTTTTTTGGTGGGAAAGTATTATGTGTAGCATAGAATTATTTGAATTTGAAAGCATGGTGCTTTCTACATAAATACATGTATATGTATACTATGTAACACGGTTTCCCGCCGACGCCAAGTGATAACGCTATAGAGGGAAGCTAGGAGAGATGAGGGGAGTGGAATACGTCATTGGTCAGGTGATTCAATCGTCAGTCGATCTTCTGTCTCAATCTTCTGTCTCGTTTTACTTCTACTGTCCAGGCTACCATCTCCAATTCAAATAATTCTGAGTGGGGATCAGTCGACGCTGTCCATCGCTTCATGATGAACTGGAGAAGTATATGAATGTCGAATGTATAGTCTAGTATACCGTTTCAATATAGTCGCCTTGTTCGATTATAAGTATACAAATTTTAACTGAATGATCTTCAGCAATTATTAATCTTGTATGTTTTATTATTTAATTAACTCTTGCAAAATTTTATTGAAATTTTTTAATTGTTTGTCCAATATATACAATTTTAAATTGTGACAAATTTTATTCACAAAATTGAAAGAAGTTAAGTTAATTAATACTTCTTTTCTTGTGTTTTTGTTTGTAGTTTTGTCAATTATTGTCCTTATTTATTTATTTATTTATTAGTTGGTTCAAGTAATTATTTATTATTTATTTAATGTACGATATTTTAAAATGGAACCATATTTTATTGAAATGGAAACTATTTTCCAAACGATAAGTCGCACAGAATCAAATTTTAAAAAAATCGGCAAATTAAACATAAATGAGTCTGTCATTAAGGGACGCATTGAATTATTGAACCAACGATGGATAGTTGCACAAGCTATAGATTTAAAAATTCAAATTGCAGCGGCTAAAGAGGACAAACAGAAATATGATTATTTTAAGCAAGCTCAATTTTTGCGAGTAGAGGAAACATATTTATCCGCGCTTGATTTTCTCAATTTACAATTGCATAATATTATTACTCCTGTAATTAAACCTGGTAATTTTAAACCTGTTGAAAATAAGGGAAATGAATCTGTCAATGTTAAATTACCACAAATTAGTTTGCCAGAATTTTCAGGAAGTTATGGAGATTGGGAAAGTTTTCGGGATTTATTTTCCGCACTTATTATTAAAAATGATAGTTTATCAAATGTAACGCGTTTTCATTATTTAAAAACAGCGTTGAGTGGAGAAGCCGCTCAATTGGTGAAACACATTGTAATTACTGAAGCAAATTTTTCTAACGCGTGGGAAATATTAACGACACGTTATGAGAATAACAGAGCACTTATTACTGCTCATATTCAATCTTTTATGGACATTTCAAATGTTAGTAGTAATTGTGTAGATAGTTTAAAATCACTTCGGGATACGACGAATGAAGCTTTGTCAGCGCTAAGAAATTTAAAGAGACCTGTAGAACAATGGCAAGATTTATTAGTTTTTATAATTTCACGTAAACTCGATTCTCAATCACTTAAAGAATGGGAAATGCAGCTTGGTTCTAGTTCAGAATATCCAACTTATGGAAATTTAAATGAATTTTTGTCAACAAGAATTAGAGCTTTGGAAGCAATTCAAGCTTCAAAATCATCATTTGATAAAAATAAAACTTCAAAATCAAACTTAGTGAAGAGCCATGCTGCATCTTCCAAGTCTAAATGTCTTATGTGTAAAGAAAATCATCCTTTGTTTAAATGTTCTCAATTTAAGGCTTTGCCAGTAGAAAAACGTAAGGAATTAGCACAGAAAAATAATTGTTGTTTTAATTGTTTAACCCCAGGACACAAGCCGTCGTCTTGTTATAGTAAATTAACATGTGTAAAATGTCGAAGAAAACATAACACTCTACTGCATTATGATTTTACAAATAATAATGTTTCTCATGTTTCTAATAATAATCAAAATAATGTAATAGAATCAGCTGATGATATTGGGAGGGAGGAGTCTTCTTCAATAAATGCTAATCAAGGTTCAGTAAATTGTAATGATACGGTTTCAGGGTTAAATACACATTCTAAATTCATGGGAAGTACAATTTTAGCAACGGCTCTAATAGATGTTAAAGTAAATAATGGAAAATTACATAAATTTAGGGTTTTATTTGATCAAGGTTCTGAATGTTGTTTTGCTTCAGAGAGAGCAGTTAAAATTTTAAAACCAAATTATGATCGTATTAATACACTAATTTATGGAGTCGGTGGAAACTCGGTTGGTCTTGCAAAGAAATTGGCTCATTTTCAGTTCCTACCTAAAGAAAAGGGTTGTAAGGCCATATCTATTGAAGCTTTGGTTTTGTACAAGCCCACCTCTTATTGCCCACCCACTAAACCGAATTATATATTAAATTCAGAATTGAAAGACTTATTTTTGGCAGATCCAGATCCATTCAGTAATGAACCGATTGATTTTATTGTGGGCGCAGATAAGTTTGGTTCTTGCTTGTTGCCAGGCCTTAAACATAATGTTTTTGGATGCTTAACTGCACAGCCCACAATGTTTGGTTGGATTCTTTCAGGGTCATTTACTGTATCTAAAGCACCTTCAGTACTGTCTATGAACACTAGCACTAATATTTCAAATGAGAATTTACATGATGCATTAGTTCGTTTTTGGGCGTTAGAAGAAATTCCTTTTGTTTCTTCTTTAACAGAAGAAGAATTAAAATGCGAAGAATATTTTTCTTCAAATTTTCAACGGTTAGAAAGTGGGAGATATATGGTACGATTGCCATTTAAAAATGGTCCACCTATAAATATTGGCCGATCATTCGGAAGAGCAAAATTAATTTTAGAACGTGTTTTAAGTCGTTTAATAGAAAAATCTAAACAGTTGGAAATGTATCGGGAATTTTTAAATGAATATTTGCAGTTGGGTCACATGTGTTTAGTGAAGGAGAGCGAATATAATGATTCTTCCCAAATTGTTTATTTACCACACCATGCTGTAATTCGCGAGGATAGTTTAACAACTATATTGAGAGTCGTTTTTAATGCGTCAAGTCTCACTTCTAATAATACAACTTTAAACTCTCACTTTCTTATTGGTCCACCCTTATTAAATGATTTAATCTCTATTTTAATAAAGTGGCGTATGTTTCGCTATGTTTTGGCGGCTGATGCTGAAAAAATGTTTCGACAAATATTAATCGATCCAAGGGATGTAGATTACCAACGCATTTTGTGGAAGAATTCAGATGGGCAATTGATAATTTATCAATTACTCACTGTTACTTATGGTACCGCGTGTGCCCCATTTTTAGCTAACAGAGTAATAAAGCAATTAGCTCAGGATGAAGGTGAGAATTTTCCGTTAGCCAAACCTATTTTGGAAGAAAATATTTATGTTGATGACGTCTTTTTTGGAAAGGATGATCTTCAAGATGCTAAGGAAACTAAAGATCAATTAGTTAATTTAATGAAGAGTGGGGGTTTTAATTTACGCAAGTGGTCTTCTAATGACAAATCTTTATTAAGTGGTTGTACTTCTGAAAATCACGAACGAGCATTAGATGAACAAGCATCTGATAGTGCATCATTAAAAGTATTGGGCTTAAAGTGGGAACCTTCTTCGGATTGTTTTCGAATTGGGGTAAATTTGGAATCAATTAATGTACCTACTAAACGATCAGTTTTATCAGTCATTGCTAAACTATATGATCCTCTTGGATGGATAGCACCAGTTGTTGTAACTGCAAAACTTATAATGCAGGAATTATGGTTACGTAAATTAGATTGGGACGAAACATTGCCTCCGGATTTAATGAAACAGTGGTTTGATTATTATGATCAACTAGAATCTTTAAAAAATTTAAAAATACCACGTTGGGTAGGTGCAATTACGACTAGCTCAAATAGCGAATTGCATGGGTTTGCAGATGCATCAAATCGTGCTTACGCAGCTAGTATTTATCTCCGTGTTATTGATGATTCAAATGAAATTCATACTACTCTTTTAATCTCAAAATCTAAAATTGCACCAATTACTCCTGTTAGCATCCCGCGTTTGGAGTTATGTGCTGCCGTTTTGTTATCTAGAGTCATGAAATATGTTCTTACGTGTTTAAATTTTCAAGAAATTCCTCATTTCTGTTATACTGATTCAACTGTTGTTTTAGCGTGGTTAGGAAAACATCCTTCTACCTGGAAAACGTTTGTTGCTAATAGAGTAGCTTTGATTAACGAATTAGTACCTCAAGCACAGTGGCATCACGTAACTACTAATAATAATGCTGCTGATTGTGCATCCAGAGGTCTGATGCCAAAGGAAATTGTTGATCATTCTTTGTGGTGGGGAGGGCCCGAGTGCCTTTCTCAGGATTCTAAAAAATTATCTAACAGTCATAAATTGATCAATGAATCTACTGAATTAGAGAAAAGAACGGTAAAAACTCATTGCTTGCAAAGTTCTCAGAAAGTTTGTTCCGAAATCACTGATAGATTTTCATCATGGCCGAAACTTTTACGTGTGATGTCCTATTGCTTTCGTTTTATCAACAAAATTAAAAATTCTAAATTAAAATCTAATTATGAGTCCATATCTCTTACTACGTCGGAAATTAATCAAACACGTTTGTTTTTCATAAAATTAATACAATACGAGAGTTTTCAATCGGAATTAAGAGATATTGGAAATCAGAAGGCTTTAACAATGAAATCTCCTATTAAAAATTTGAATCCTTTCATAGATTCAGAGGGTATTCTTCGTTTGGGGGGACGATTACGAAATGCTCCTATTCGATATGATGAAAAGCATCCAATTATATTACCAAAAAATAAGATTAGTCATTTAATAGCATTGCACGCTCATGTAAGAAGTATGCATGGAGGTATCCAATTGAGTTTACATACATTGCGACAAAATTATTGGATTGTTGGAGCGCGTTCTGTAATAAAATCAATAATTAATAATTGTATTACTTGTGTTAGGCAAAGAGCAGCTGTTAGTCAACAACTTATGGGCGATTTGCCTGATTTTCGCGTAACTCCCAGTCGACCTTTCAGTCATACTGGAGTTGATTATGCAGGTCCTTTTGATGTAAAATTGAGCCCAGGTCGTGGTTGTAAAACTCGAAAAGCCTACTTAGCATTATTTGTTTGTTGTTCTACTCGTGCAATCCATATTGAACTCGTTTCTGATGGTTCTTCTGCAGCTTTTTTGGCTGCGTTTCAGCGTTTCGCTTCTAGAAGAGGTAAACCTTCAAATATTTATAGTGATAATGGACGGAATTTTGTGGGAGCTGATAGTGAGTTAAAACAGTATTTGGTAAAATTGAGAGCTGATAATGATTTGCTTGATCAACTGACTTCCGATGGAGTTTCATGGCATTTTATACCTCCTAATGCCCCTCATTTTGGGGGATTATGGGAAGCCGGGGTAAAAAGTGTGAAATATCATTTACGTAGAATAATTGGTCTTCAAAAATTCACTTTTGAGGAATTTTATACACTGTTAACTCAAATAGAAGCAACTTTAAATTCGCGTCCTATAGCTCCTCTCTCTGAAGATGCTGGGGATTTTGCTTATTTAACACCGGGTCATTTCTTGATTGGCGCACCAATCACTAGCATACCTGAGCCGTCGCTTGAGTTTACTCCTGAGAATCGATTAACTCGCTGGGGATTAATTCAACGTATTTTTCAAACTTTTTGGAAAAAGTGGCGCATTGATTATTTACAATGTTTACAAAAGCGCCATAAGTGGAATGTTGTTAAACCAAATATCAGGGTTGGAAATATGGTGTTGTTGCGAGATGACAATTTTCCCCCAACTCATTGGCTTCTTGGTAGAGTTATAGAATGTATTAAAGGATCTGATGAACTTATTCGTGTTGTAAGAGTAAAGACAGCTAAGTCTGAATTAAAACGACCATTGAGTAAATTATGTTTACTTCCGATTAGATCAGCGAATGAGAATGATTTGTAATGGATTTTTTTTATTGTAGTTATGAGTTTTTAATTGTTTATAATTTTCTATTTTTTGTTAGTATTTAGCATGGCGGGCGGCTAAGACCACATTAACTTAACTTAATTTATTGTCGATATTATGCGAGGCGAGCGGTATGTTTTGATATTGGTATGAATGAGTGAATGAATGATTAACTCCTGTGTGTAGACTTCACTTTATACAATGGTGTTTGTATTAATTTGAATGCCTTTTTTTTGTAATTTGACCGTTTGTTCTTGGAAATTTCTCGATGTTTTTTCAGTTTTGCAAGAGTGCGAGGAACTTATAGTCGCATAATAATCGACTTAACTTTTAATTGATTAAATTCACGAAATTGGTGTTTTCTTTTGAACTCAAGTTGTTAATAATAATAATAATTGGTGAACAATAACTTTGTGTAAGTGGTCTTACCGCGAAATTGACTTTAATTAATAAATAATGAATTATTCCTTTGTTAATTGAACTGACGCTATTTTATTTCTATCTTTATAACCCAAATAAATGATTAATTAATAAATTAATTAATCCGAAAATTCAACAAACATGGTGAATTTTTCAGGGCAAAAATAACACAAAATTTATACACATTAACTATTTGTAAACTATAAAATACAATTGTTTTAATTATTATTTATTTATTTGAAAATTTATTCATTATTAAATTACTAAATTTGAAAAAATAATTTTAAGTCGTAATACCTACATTCTTCAGTTAGATAAGTAAATATTTTTAAAATAACAAATTGTTGTGAATAAGGCAAAATATTTTAAAGTAGTAATATAATTGTACATAGAAAACGTGTTTTTATATCCACTAAAAAATTGCCTAATCAAAAAAAAATTTTTTTACTATTTTTGAAGCATTTTTTTAAAATATTGTTTTTAGGTTAAAAATACTAAAAAATACCATTGTTATTGAATTTTTTACATGAAAAATGATTCGTTTATTTTTCTAATTAATTTCAAATCATAATTTTATCATAATTTTATTATTTATTCGAAATATTTTGTCTGATTGAAAAAAAATTTTGTTTCCCTTAAAATATTTACTTGTCTGACTGAACAATTTTGTACTACTTAAATCAAATTTTTCAACTTAAAAAAATTCTGTCTGTAAAATTTTTTGAAAAATTAAAAATTTCTAAAAATTTACTTGTTACAAAAAAATTTGTAATAATTGTAAAAATTTACTTGTCTGACTAAACAATTTTGTACTACTTAAAAAAAATTACTCAATCAACTAAAGGATGCACTTTTATAAGAGAATGTTTTTTCATTCATTCTGAATACTTTCTTTTTTGATTTATCCTTTGCACTAAAATTAGAAATAAATTTTTCCACTCTGCTCACAATTTAGAGTTTCAGGCAGAGAGAAAATTGAAAAAGTACCGACTTTTTCCCAAATCGATGATATAGTCGAAGAAAGAAAGAGGTACATCTAACTTTTATTTACTACACTCAATCACTATACCCGTATACCTACGTCTATTCCCAATGCAATCTTTGGAAAAAGTTAAACAATTGCAGTAAGTAAAGTGGAACTTTACAATTTTTGGTCTCAGGACAATTGTAGAAAAACTGTTTTTCACAAATGTTTGTATATATATAGAGTCACTTTTGTTTCAAAACACTAGAATTTTACATTTATTTTCATTTTCTAAATTGGAGTTTAAAAACAAAAAATTCCAATATCTTTTAGTATTTTTCTGTACTCACAGTTTTTTATAAAGATATCAAATTTAGACAAAAAAATACACGTAACATTTTGGCACTACATTTGGTGTTAAAATAACACAGGAGTGTTAAATTAACACTGGTTATATTAATTAGTTAATTAACTATATTAATCTCTGTATTCTTTCATTCATTCTGTCCGCAGTTTGAATTTAGTTTCTGTGTATGTATGTTTTTTTTTTCATTAAAAAATATTGTTTGACAAATCGAAAATATGCAGGTATTTTTTTAATTTTTATTATTTATAATAAAATAATATTACAAATTAGAAACTTTTTAAAAAATTATGATTAACAAATGAAAAATATACCCATTTTGTTTATAAAATATATTGCTTTTTTCTATAACAAATTTCGTTTCATTGATCTAAATTATTATGTAAATTATTCTCCTTCTTATTTATAAAAATACTAGAAAATTATTAATTTTTAAAAAAATTTTATTAAAAAGTAGGAAATATACCCATTTTATGCATAATTTTTATTTCTCAATAACAATATTGTTTACAAACTCATTTTTTTCTTTTCGGGAGAAAAACATGAAATATTCCAGTTTCTTAATATTTTTGTAGAAAATTTTCAATTTTCATAAGGAAATAATTTGCGTTAATTCTATTTCTTAATTTCAATTGTTTTAATAAAACTCCAAATTTTTTAAAAATAAAGGAAAAAATGTTTATAAATTTTATTTGTCAATTAGAAAATTTAATTGTAAATGAAATTAAAAATTTTTGAATGTTTAGAAAATAAAGGAAAAGATTTTATTGAAAAAAATGTTCGGTTAAATTTATTTAAGAATATCTTTAATTGTAAAATTATTCAAAAATAATAATTTCTTTTTTAAATATTTTAAATATTTAATTATTATTTTTCCATAGGAATTAAGATTTTCAAAAATTTCAAATTCAATTTCAAACCTTTATGAAATTAGTCAACTTTAAAAATATTGTTATTTTTATGTTTTATAATAATTAAAGAGGATTGAGTGCTAAAATCATTATTTTATATTATAAGAATATTTTTTCTGTAACTTCTTAAAAATTCTTTTCATATTCTATTCTTATCTAATTTATTTTCAAATCAAATATTTGAATCAAATATTCAAATATTTATTTTCAAATCAATTTTTATTAGAAATTTCTACGAGAAATCAATTACTTAAATACAGAAGTAAATTATTAATTGAATGATTGAATGTTTCTTAAAATTTCTACGAGAATTCAATTATTTAAATTTTAAATACAAAAGTAAATTATTTATTGAATAATAATTCAATGTTTCTTAAAATTTAATTCTTATAAAGAATTTTATTAACAAATTTTTAAATAATTGAATTCTTTTGACGAATTTTAATAAAAAAATTTAGAATAGTTACATTTTTCAAGAAATTTTTTAAAAATTTTATTAAAAATAATTGAAATTCTGCGATGAGTTTTATTATCTCTGAAAATAATTAAATTATTGAGAAGAAACTTATAAAAAATTTGTAAATATTTGGATTCCTGGCAAATTTTTATTATTTATGAAAATAATTAAATGTTTGCGTACAATTTTATTAAAATTGTTTTCAAATAATTGAATTCTTTTGGGTAATTTTATTAAAATAGTAGATATTGAAAATCATTGAAACAAGGAAAAATTGTTGAAAATAATTGAAATTTTATCATGAATTTTATTAAAATTTTTGAAAATAATTTAATTTTGAAGAAGAATTTTTTTGTCTGTAAAAATAATAATTCATATTTTGACGAGATTTTTTTGTAATTTTTGAACATAATTGAATTTTGTGATAAGAATTTTATTACTTTTGAAAATAATTTAATTTCTGCAATCATTTGTAAGTTCTTTAAAATTAAATTTTTTTAGTGTTTTTAACTAAAATTCTAGAAATCCATCATTTTTAATAATTATTTTGAGTTATTAAAATTTTTCAAAAATCTAAGTTCATTAAAATTTCTAATTAAATTCATTTAACATTGAAATTTTATAAAATTTCAAATTGAAACTGTTTAAAGTTCATTTATTTATAAAAATTGTAAACGCAACTCTTTTAAAATTAAATTAATTTTGAATAATTCATTAAATAATTTATTTATTTTATGATAGTTGTTCAAGATTTGAGTTATTTAAAAAGAAATTTTTGTAAGAAGTTGAAAGAATTGAAGGTTTTGTATTAGAATCCGTGGTAATTTTATAGTTTATAAGTCAAACAAAAAAGACAAAAAAATTCAGAATTTTCTTATGAATTCTAAAAATTTAATTTTCTTCATAAATTTTAATAAAAATTCCCGACTTATTCCTGAATTCCCTATGTCAGAATATATGATTATTATAATTATAATAATATTAAAAATATATATTCCAATTCATATTTTATTTTTATCAAAAAAATTTCAATACAAAATTTTTACATTCTATTATTTTTAAAATTGTTAATTTATTTAAAAAAGTGAGTGATTAATGTTAAATTAATACTTATTTTTATTAGGTGTTTAAATAACACACACAAAATTTAACACATTTTTTTCTGTGATATTAAAATAAACCTAATTTTTTTTTAAAATTCTTCCTTAATTAAAAAACTGTTGTTTCTCAACTGCGTGTAATTGACGATAAAAAGAGAAATTTAAAGAATAAAATGATGTGTCAGAATTTAATAATTTCGAATTGCCTTCTTCTAAATTGCAATAAAAACAACAATTTTAATTAAAATCTCAAATTTCAAAGAAGATTTTTATAGCGAGAAGTCAAATGGATCGTTTCGTTAGATAACACGTGGAAAGTATCGATTCTCTATCTCATTCTCTCTCTCTCTCTCTTTTCTTTTTATCCTTTGACTCTTTTTTGCAGATTGGTTACGTCAGAGAAAAGGTAAAGTAAGGCAAAGCGCACTATTTTCTAAAAAGCGCTCTCTTTTACTGCCAAATTGTTTTCTTCGATTTTTAAAATCGTTTCAAATCACTACTGTGATCACTACTCTGACTTTGTTTGTCGCAGTATCGTAATTACTTTTATGTTTTTTTTTTTTTTTTTTTTTGCAAATTACAAAAAGCTTTTACGTTTCGGAAAATGTGTAAAGAAAAACTTTGCAATTCGAATAATGTAATGAAAGTAAACGAAAGTATCATTGGAATTTCTTCATTTGCCATACGATTGGAAAAGAAAAATTCTTGTGACAGAATTTTATTCAGATATTTGAGAGACAAATTTTTTTGAAAGTAGAAAAAAACAATTTTTTATTCATTA